GTGTGTGTGTGTGCGTGTGCGTGTACTTTGTGAGGACCATTTTGAACATCGACCTTAGAGTGAGGACATTTTAGTTTTTTCAATGGGCAGTTTGAGGTTAAGACTTGATTTTATTGTCAGGGTTAGAATTAGGTTTAGGTTATGGTCAGGCATTTAGTTTGGGTGGTCAAGGTTAGGGTAAGAGGCTACGGAATGTATTATGTCAATGAGTGTCCGACAACAATGTGTGTGTGTATGTACATGGTGAGTCATTGTTCCCCTGACAGTAATGGTGTGGCTCCATCTGTCATTGTCTTGTCCTCCCACTAACTAGATTTGGAGGCTGACAGAGACACATGGACATCCAGGGCCGAGAGGTCATCGAGAAACGAGTGCTCAGACAGACGCACAAACAATAACAGTGGCGGGATGGTTGCTGCTTGTTCCACTCGTTCTGAGGTGTGCCTCGCTCTTGTTCAGGAAGTACAAGTTTGATTTCCTGTTTCTCCATGCAGCCAAGAAGCAACACCTACCAAACAATTCATGGCATGCGATGATAGGGTGAGATTCAAAAGCATAAACAGTATGAAAGAGAGAGAGAGAGTGTGAGTGTGGGGTCTTTTATAGCATTTACACCCTTTTTCCACATCACCAGAAACATAATCAGCCCAGATTATCTTTGTTCGATATGATCAGGAGTTATTTCTGTTCTGTTGTGAGCGACGCTCCGGAGACGGCAGGTGGGGAGGTGGGCGCTACATTCCTGCCTTATGGACTCTCGCTGTAATAGGATCACAACATGAGACTGTTAATAAGCAGCACAGTGTGAGGACAGAGAATCAAAACTGGAAATACGTGGAGCTTAAGTGGAGTTGAGGTTTTAACACTGATAACTTTTATTTCGATAAGTGTTAGGTACAGAAAGTGGTCTGGAAAACACGAAATACGTACGATTATTGGTTTTCATTGCCAAATCTTTTTTGATTTTATCTGTTCACCTCTGGACGTTTGTCGGAGTTCATTTGAAAAACAAGACATTTTCTTCATTATCTCTTTAAAATCAACAGTTGACATTTGGCTGATACAAGGAAGTTGGACAACCAAGAAGATAAAGGAATTATCAGATGATAAAACTGAGTAGAACGGTATTTGTTGAAGAACCACATGGCTGTTACTCTTTCACAGACTTCACTGTGTCCACAATGTTTTCACCTAATTCAACAACCTCTGTTTGTTCAAAGACTTCCATTAGGTTTCAGTATAAAACCCAGATCACATACAGTTGGTAACAATGAGATTTTAACAACAATTAACAATTTAATTTGAATGAGTTTCAGTATTAGCCCAGAAGGAAAACCCTGGCTCCAGAGAGGACCTGTTAACTTTTTCATGTCACCCGAAGTTCACCATAGGTTCTCCTACATGAAAGTGAAGGGGTGGGGGTCTTCAGTTATCTACTGTCACAAACGCCGGCCAAACTGGGATTTGAACCAGAAACCTTCTTTGGTTGCAATCTGCTGCCATGTAATCCTACACACTGCACCATTAAAGGAGAATTTGAAGACATATCTCAATGTAACACAGAGCTGTTCATCTGTTGTTTTGTGGGCCGGGAGTCATGGCGCCTTCCTGCACATTAATTAGTCTTTGTGGGTTCAGTGTAATTGGGTGACAGATGATAAAAGGGGACAGATGTAATGTTGTGTTCCAGGGTAATAGTCCAAATCAAATCTGTAACTACAACCAGATGCCTTTTAAATTAGTGAGCACTTACACAGGCTGGCTCACTGTATTGATTTCTTTTGTGTATAAAATATGAAGATGATCATTTAGGATCTAACTGAAATCAGAGAGTTTATCTAATCTGCTGATTTATTTCTTGTCTTTCGAGGCTCCTGGTCTCATTTCTACAGCTCTGTACACACTAAAGACCAAAATCAGTCAGAGTAAAGAAGAGACTCATTTGCTGAACTGCAGGAAAGATAATGATAATGATAATGATAATGATAATGATGGTGTGCTCTGTAATATTTAACCGAATTTAAATCACCGTAATCAACATTATGTTAACTATGAATCAGATGACTGTGTGTTTAGTATCAGTCGCAGTAACACACACTGTTATCATCTGACTCTGCAGCCCCCCCTCAGCCTTTTAACATCTTTCCTCTCATTAGGTTTGTTTTTTATAGCACACACTTTTATTGTTTTAATTCTCTCCCACCACTCCCATCATCTCATCTCCCTAAGCTCAAACATTGTACAATTCCCGCTCAGCACCAACCAACCAACAAACAGATACAGTGAACCTAAAGGAGCATATGGCAGCTAAAGAGCCACACTTTCCCCCCAGGAGTTGGTAGAGACCTAAAACAGAGCATCATACAGATGTGGGCCACTTCGCACAATTGTGGCCTGAACAAAATGGATTTGAGTCTTGTAAAATAGCGAATGTGGCCCAAATATCCCAAAACAAATGTGGGCCTTTTTTTCAGAAACGTGGTGCTCTAGGTAAAGTGTAATCTGGATGTGAACCTAAAGTGGCCCATGTGGAAAATGGGGAAAATGGCAGAAATAGCACAAAAACAAAGTCGGGCCACCTTTGGCACCTGTGGTTGGTGTACGGTATTGCTTTGGCTCACTTGTAGCCCAGATATGTCAAACAGGAGCAGACTACCCGAGTTCCGTCATTCTATGTATATAATGATGACCGTGTGGGCCACATCTTCACCACATCCACTTAAAAGGTGACGATACATAATGTTAAGTTCATAATTTGTTTCCTCTGCACCAAAAGTGCCCTAAACACTATTACAGATTTACTGACATATTAAAATACCTGTGCTTTTTAAAGTTCCAGAGAAGCTGGTTCCCATTATGACCCTGTAAACTGCTCAGTTTATTAAGAGTGTATAGTATTCAGCTCTGTTGTTGTATCTCAGAAGAGAATTGTCTTTGAAACACTGATTTTATTTTCTACCTCAGAGAACTCTGTCTTTTTGCGATTCTTTCAGGAATGCGCTGGATGTTTCCTGCTGCTTGAAATATTCTCTCTCACTATAAACAAATCACAGTAAACAGAGAGAAGAAATGAGTCGCTTTTTTTCCTCTGATTCTAGAATAATCTTCTCTGGCTCACTCTATAGCTCAGGTTTCACTTCCATGATGGTTGTAAATATGGAAACACACTCAGGTATGAAGAAGAGGATACTAACACAGCACTCTACACTCTACAACACTCCCCTCAGCTCGGGCAGTAATATCCCGCTGCTCCTCCTGTGACTCATCCCTTTGACTTATGATGTTCAATGATCCAACTTGTCATAAGTACATGTTCCAAACACCAACAGAACTTTTGATGTCGGGGCACTGGGAGTATCTGTTATCCTTCATCGCTGCATTTCATTTTTTGACCTGTGATGTTACAGCAGTGGAATCCATCCTCCATCACCTAATCTATCCCCTCAGCATCCCTCTCATCCCCTCTGGTCTTCATACCCTAAAAAGGACCGGAGGGGCCGAAGGTTGGATTTGGACGTGGGGCCGAGGGGTGTGTTTGTATGTGTCACAGAGGGGTATATACAGCCCCCCATAACTAACTGAGACGTATGGTCTGAGGGTTTGACCTCCTGTGGATGCTACTGTCTCCTCCTGTCCTTGTGTCATCTTTTTCTTCTCCTTCTTCTTTTCCTCCTGACTGGAAGCAAACATGAGTTTCTACAAGCACTCAGGTAAAAATAAGAGAAGAGTGCACAGGATGCTAGTCAAATTATCGAGTGCATTTCTTGTAATCAGGTGCAAATTCTAAAACCTTTGTACCTTTGGTGAGAATTAAGGGATTCTCTTAAAAAGTTTGAAAATTATGCTTAACATTTTAACATTGTCTTTTCATTTTACAGGCTGAGAAAATCATTTTTCAGACCGTATTTTCCACAGCTTTTAAATTCTTTTAAAGCTTGAGAAGCAGTATATTAATGTACTGCTAAAGATTTATTATTTTTATAGTTTTTTAATTTAGAAGAAAAGTTCATGTTATGTATCAGATTAAGTTCTTTAAAATGAACACATGAATTCGAGGGGTATTTAGTTTTTGGTAAAAGTATTAAACCAAAAGGATCTTTAAAGCTTCTGAGTTTAGAAAATTACCAAATAATTTAGTTTTATATGATGTTTAGAATAGCGACCTCTCTTCAATTTCTCATTTCTTGACACATGTTTTGAGACACAGCTGCCTGTTCCAGGTTTCACACTGAGCTGTAATTAATGCATTGTTTTCTACACAGCACCATGATAACGAGATGTGATTATGTAAAAAATGATCTGATTTTGCAGGAGAGCGTCTTTCAAGAGAACCCGCTGTTGTTTTTCAAAGAGGCAGAGAACCGAAAGTTTCTAAACTGTGGCTATAGATCTGAACTCTGGGTCGTCCTGACTTTGATCCACTCTTATCACGTCTCTGACTCACCTCTCAATCTGGTCTCACCCTGACCTTTCTGACTGGTCCCTGAAGGGAGCACGGTGGAACGCAGCCGGGCGTCGGTACATACCGGGCCTGTTTGACAGGCGGCAGCTGTCACGCTGCTTGTGACAAAAGATTAAAGTACCACACACATCTCAACTGGAGCCACAATAGCTGCTTAGTCCCAGTAGTCATCACTCTGCATCCCCCTCCATGTGTCCCCCCCAGAAGGTCAGTGGACTTTAGAGGGTCCAAGTCTGAAATAGATCCCTGCTTATAGGAATCAAGCACTGCAAAGTGGATTTGAGGTGATTGACTGCGTTGGGTTTTGCCTGTGTCACTGCCACTAAATGGACGTGGGTGGGGGAGCGGAGTTGGGGTGTGTCGGGCTCAGTCTGGTCTTTATCCCAGCTGCACAGCTGCACATAGATATTCCCCTCTCATCTATCAGTCCACACTCACCAGGGGCACATACCACACATAGGGAAGTTCATATCTATCACATGGCCGTGGAGCACATCCCACTTAAATAGCAGCAGTCCCCTTTTGTAAATATTTCCCTTGTTCCTATGGTTACGAGGACAAAATGCCATTCCACCAATTGTTTCCCTCCATCACTCCTGTTGTCCCGACCGGATTTAAATCGATATCAGTCACACTGAATAAATCACTTTCGCTGAGGTTCACCCGCTGTTCATCTGCTCCGCCTGACATCCTGTGACAGAGGCTTTAAAGTGATGTAGATAAAGTTGAATGCGTCCACACGCTCCACCCTGTGCACAGTTGTTCCAGGAAACCTCTCGGTCTGCTCCCAGCAGAGGCCGGCTGTGATGGAGACGCAGGAATGTTGATGAATGAAGGAGAGAAAAAAGACAACTCAGTTTACTGTGCTCCCACCGAGGGGCCAATAAACTGACCTGGCCCAAAGAGAGCGTGTGGGCCGGACTGTGCGAGGGGGGTCTCTCAGGTGATGGAGGGGGAGTTGGAAGGGAATAAGCCAGAGAGACTAAAAATATGCACCGAGCTTTCCAGGGAGAACTTGATAAAAAAAAGTCTGGTGGCCAGAAAATACGCAGACAACAAGCAGACGACTGTAGGCTGCTCCTGGTTGTACTTCCCTCATCACTGTGGTATGCTGCTGCTGGAGCTGGTCTCCCTGTGACCTCACAGGAAAACACAAAAGATAATCAAATGTCTGCATAAGCCACTTGTTTTGCAAACTAACTATAAAGTTAGTTTCAGCCTTAGGGAATAATTGACTGTTCACCAAACAACAGACACACAAATATGGGATTTGTGCTGATTTAATTTTGCTTTTTGCTCCTAATTCCTTAAATTTCTTTCTGCATTGTAAAACAGCTTAAATTTACATTGTTCCTCTGCATAATTAGAACACGTTCATCGCTGTTGTGTGGGACCTTGAAGCTCTGACTCTGTTCACTTGTTCTAAAAAAGAGGCGACACTGTCCCCATCTGGCGTCTGAGGGAAACTCACAGTGATGGAGTCCGGTGTGTGACCGTGTCCTGTGTCTCCACAGCTCCCAGGAGTTACCTCAGCTCCACCATGACCGACCGCTTCGACTGCTACTACTGCCGTGACAACCTGCACGGGAAGAAGTACGTGAAGAAGGACGAGAAGCACGTGTGCACCAAGTGCTTCGACAAGCTGTGCGCCAACACCTGCGCAGAGTGCAAGCGCCCCATCGGTGCTGATGCTAAGGTGGAACAGAGTGTGAGAGGTGTCGAGAAGAGATAGATGAGTGAAGCATTTCAAAAAACATATGATTGAAAATAACAGCAGAAGTCAAATTATACAAATAACATTTTTTT